CTGAACTGCTGAGGGGTGTTGCAGGGGGACTGGAGAATGCCTCTGGAAGCACCGAGACCTAAGAGATAAGGGAAGCCTAAGGTTGCTTCTGGCCCTGGGCTGGAGGAGCCAAGCCCGGTGAACGCAGAGCCCTGGCCGAGGGTGGAGAGACCCAGCCTTTGGGAAGCCTCTTCAGCCTGCTTGGCAAGAGGCTGGGGGACGGAGTCCTGCAGGGAAGGGCGGGAGCAACCCCAAGGGTATAACCGTTGAGTGATCAGTCTGTTTGCTTGCCTCTTGCAGGATCTTGTGAAAAATCACCTGATGTATGCAGTGCGGGAGGAAGTGGAGGTCCTGAAAGAGCAGATCAAAGAACTGTTGGAGAAAAACTCCCAGCTGGAGCGAGAAAATAGCCTTCTGAAAACCCTTGCTAGCCCTGAGCAGCTGGAGAAATTCCAATCCCGGCTCCCCACAGAGGTGCTGTGCCCAGAGGAGCAGAGCCCGGGGGCGCCGGCCCCAGCTCAGCATGCTGGGGGCTCTGCGGTATAAGGTGGCTCTGTCCTTGGGGTGGGCAGAGCCACAGAACTCTTTCTACTTAATCTCCCGCAAAGTTGTTTCCGCCTCATCTCATGGAGGACTGCCAAATCCTAGCACTAGCAGTAGTGCTGAGAGGTGCCCCCCAGGCAACCCCGTCCAGACAGTAGAGCCAGCTGCTGTTTCCTGCACGAAGATGCTCTTCTGCGAGGGAGATGCGGGGCTGCACCAACAGCTGACCTCCCCCCGTCCGATCTCCCCCTGTGTGCTGGGAGTAAATCTGTGGCCTGGTTGACCTGCCCTTCCTGGGCTCTGCTGAAACCTGGGAGTCTGCGACACACCTGCGGCAGTGCCAGGTGGCCTTTGGCACACGTATGGGAATACAAGGTTGGAAAAAGCGCACGCCAAGTCCCGTGCCTTTGCTGCACTGTGCAGTGGGGGGTCTCCTTCTGGCAAAGACGGACCTTGGAGGAAGACAGTTGTTCAGAGAGAGATACAGATTTGTCCCTCTAACCACCCAGGAGCATGCTGGAACCAAAACCTGACTTTAAGCAGCACCGGTGTTGGCAGTTGTGGTATAGTGCATGGCTGTACACACATCAGTGTGGGGATTACAAGGAAAAGCTTGTTTTATTAGTTCAGGTATCTTCTGTAGACATATCTATATATAAACACACGTGAGTACAGGTGAGCAGTGCCCACAAGGCTGTGGGATGCCACGTGGCCCTGCTCTGGGGCAGATGCGCCCATTTCTGTACAGTTGGGGGATTCAAGTCAAGACTGGAATGGCAAGTGACTGTAATGGGGTGGACAGTGCTGCAAGACTGCTCCCTGGCTGAAGGAGGGAAGGATTTGCTCCTTCTCCTGTGCCAACTGACATGGGAGCCACGGGGCAGCTACAGCAGTGGAAGCATCTGAACTGAACACTAGGCAGAGGCAACAGTGGCTGCGGGGTGTGCTCCAGCCCACGGGGCTTGGAGGGAGGGAGCGTGCGACTCTGGGCTCTGTGCCTCCCCCAGCCAGCTCTCTGGGAATTGACGGGACGTCCGCTTTGACGTCAGACTGTCAGAGCAGTGACACGGTTGTGTAAATCTAGGTAGAAATGGCAATAAACTCTACTTTTTTATACACCTAGGCTCCTGGAGCTGTTTGTCCGTGGCCGGGAAGGGGCTGGCAAGTGAGGTGGTTAGGGTCCAGGCAGGCAGTGTGGGTTCTTGGGGAAGTTGCTGGCAGCCTGTGCCCCGCTCCCAGTCCTGAAGGCAGATGCACAAGGGCGGCAGGGATGGGATGGTGCCAGCGGAGGAATTCCCTGCATGCTGCAAGCTGGTGCCTGGGTTATGTAAGGAGCTGGTGGGGGCAGGCCTGGCTCTGTTCCTCCCCAGCAGCCTTGCTGGTTCCCCTGCTGGCTCTGCAGGGAGGGAGAGGGCAGCTGTGTGCTGCCTTCTCTGTCAGCTCCTTGGATTCAGGCAGCTGGGAAAATCCTGTGGCTCTTCACTTTCAGGGGAGCACCAGTTCCCCCCCCCCCTCCCCGGACTGCCCTGACGGGGCTCAGAAGGGATTTCTAAGGTAAGAGCAGCCACTCCCATCCCAGGATGCTGGGTGTGTGCTGTGAAAAGGTGTATTGATCCCACAGTCCCAGGCCAGTGCAGGCAGATTTTCTTCCCCTAGGTCATGTCAGCAGCCAGAGCCGCTTGCAGGGTGGGCTAGGGGGTGCTGGACAAGCAGGGAGGAGGCCCAAGAGCAATGTGGCATGAGGGCATCAGCTAGCAGGGACAGAGAGCAGGGTGGGTGCCAGGGAGTGGGGTGTGGTGGGATAGCTGGAAGTGGCTGAGCTGGGTTTACTCTGGGGGATAGAGCCGCTCAAAAGCTAGGCAAGCAGGTGGAGTACCCACTACCCCATTTCATCACCCTCTACCAGCCAGTAGTGCAGCTCCCACCAGTGCCACCTCAGCCGGTGAGGAGCTTCCAGCTCCCTCCTTCCACCTGCTCTTGGAGGGAGTTGGGATAGTGCATGGTTCCTGAGCAGGATGCACCCCAGCCTGTGCCTGGCTTGCACCCTGTGCTCTGCCAGGCTGTACTGAGCCATGCTCATCTTCCTGCACAGCTCAGCACTTCTGCTAGTTTTCCTGTGGCTCTTTGCAGCCCTCACTCGGATTTTGCACTATCCTTTTGAAACACAGGACGAGGGGCAGCGCATGAGCCAGCCAAGCTTAAAAGTGCTGGATGTAGGGTGAGGGTGTCCCAACCCTTCCCTGAAATGCAACCAGCCCTGGTTTAGCCATATGGGGCAGATGGAGCAGACAACAACTTTCCCTCCACTTCTAGGGATGCTAACGCCAGCAAGGTGCTGTCTCTAAGGACCCTGGAGCTAGGTGGCTGTGACAAGCAAGTTAAAGGCTAGGGGGTACCAGCAGAGCCAGGAGGTGTGTGAGTGGATCCCTAGACTGGCCACAAAGGTTTAGGATGGATGCACAGGACTGTGCCCCAGGCCCAGGTCAACTGGCAGACGGCTGCACCCTGCAGTTCAGCAGTGCCTTTTCCCACTGCTTTAGGTCTCTGCCTTAGTGAGTGAGCACAACTGAGCCCCAGCCCTGCGTGAGTCATAGTGGAGCTGCCCGCTGGGCGCTGAGAACGGTTGGCTCCATGGCAACACTGGGTAAACAGCAAAACATAGGCCCATGTGGCTTTCAGGGGCCACACAGCTTGAAACTGTTTTGGGGTGTCTACACCTCTCTCTATGTTGTTGCAGAGTTGGGACCTAACCACAGCCTTGTATAAGCAGCACTGCAGCCATGCGGAAATAGCCCACTAGTGCAAGCGCTGAGCAGCACAAATGTGTGTGTTTTCGCTCTCTGCTGGGTGCGTGCACCTGTAAGCACTCCCCCACCGGGTACATACACATCCCTTGCATACACACACACACGCATGCATTGCAACAAACTGGGGGGGGCACACATGCTTGCAGAGGGTCCTCAGTGCTGCCAGTCTCTCAAATTGTTGGCAGGCACAGCTGGAAAGCCCATTTCCAGGAAGGGCTGTATCCCAAGGGGAATTGGGTGTCAGCTACGTTTGTGTTGGCCGTTTAATTCTCCTGGGTGTTAGGAGAGCCCTGGGGTGTTTTGGGGCTCCTGCCTGCTGGGAAATTGTCCGCCTGCCCTTCTGCACCTCCCTGGCTGGGAAGGTTTGGGCTGTAGTGACAAACTGTTCCTTGACTGTCCTTGCTTTGCCCCATGCCCTTGCTGCATCTAAGGGATGCGATGATGGCACTGTTTGGAATATGGAGCCTTGTTTGCCACCTCTCCCCATCCTCAGTCCCCTCCCACAGCCACCTGGGATGTCCCACAGGCTTCTCATGCCTTTGTGCAGGGGGAATGGGGGCACTGAGGTGGGCTCCGTTCCTCCTCCACAGGGCAATCACACAGCAACAGCCTCCACAAACCACTGCCTCCCACCACCGCTCCAGATAAGCTGGCCTCCTAAGCATGGGCAGAGCCCTTTCCATTCCTCAAAGTATGGTGTGACATGGTGCCAACCAATGGTACAGGGCAGCCCAGGCAGAAACCCCTCCCTGTGGCAGGCACATGCCACCGCTGGAAGCCTCTGCTGTGCATTGCCAAGCTGAGCCCCAGCTGCACTGCCACAGTTGCTTTGGTGTAGAAGGAAAGCCTCTAAAGACACCCCATGCCCTTCCTAGACCCTCTGGAGACAGAAAAGGCCCCCCCCCCACCATCTCCCTGCTTCTTCTGGACACTAAATCTGCAGCACAGGCGATGAGGGGGGGCACTTACTGCACAGCACCCAAAATGTGATGAGGGAACCTCCCTTCTAGCTGGGACTGAGCTATCTGGAGATCATGCCCACCCTTGGTTGTCCAGTCCCCTGGCTCTCTGCCCCTGCTAGCTCCTGGGCTTGAGTGTTAATGCGCTGGTGCTGCAAGGGTGCCAGTGCTGGTGAGTGAGTCTGCGCTACTGCAGCACCAGCCAATAGCAAGCACGCAGTCCCCTAAAGGCAGACCACAGACACCAGCAGAAGGAGGGAAAACCAAGCCAGGCCCTAAGGCAAGGCAGGCAGGGCTGGGTGCTGCAGCCCAGGACGCAGCAGGAGGCTGCCCAGACCTCTTCCCCAACCCACCGCCCTGTATCCCCCCCCTTCCTGTATCTATACTTCCCACATTGACAGGTGAGCACTGATTCCCCCGCTACTACCACCACCATCAGAGAAGCTAGTTGAGTTTAAACACCTCCCTTACCAATATCTTCCCAACACCCTGAAAGGGTTCCCAGCCTGCCCAACCCTGGCACAACAGTAGCTTAGCATTGTCATATCCTGACTGGTGTGCAAGAGGGCTTGGGGGGGGCCAGAGACAAGTCAAGCTGAGCAAATCTCTTTAGCAGGGACATGCGTGACTGCACCAGTCTGGCCAACAGAGGGTTAACACTTTCTTGTGGTCATCACATGCTGCACCCACTTCCTGCTGCTCAGCAGCACCCAAAGGGTTAATGCACCACATTAGGAAGTTCCTAAGAAACAGTTTATTTGTAAAAAATGAGAAGCAGCTGCCACCCTGAAGCATGTTTTTCCATGCCTGGCGTGATGCAGGCTCAGCCCAGGGCTCCCACATGACTATGTCCAGCTCCTCCTCCTGCCAGCTGCACGTGTCTTTCCATGAGGACGCTCACAGCCCTGGCTAGGGAACCAGCAAGCCCTGCACTGCCATCCCAGGCAGGAACCAGCTCCTGGCATGGGGCTGGCACCTCAAACTGCTGCAAACAGGGCACTGGCAGGAAGGGGCACAGTATATCCACTCCTTCCACCTTGTTCCTGGGCCAGGGCACATCTGGGATGGGGAAGGGTCTCTCCCATCCTACCCGGACAGGCTGAGCCCCCAGGGCTCCTTCCAGCAAGGGCTTTGGCCCAGCTCGGGGCATGTGGGGTCCCTGGCAGAGAAAAGGAGCTGGGGGTGGGGATTGAACCGTTGGTTTGTGCGTGTGTGTGTGTGTGCGCGCGCGTGTGCGTGTGCGTGTGTGTGTGTGTGTGTGTGTGTGTGTGTGTGTGTGTGTAGCTGATGCTCAACAGAGTGTCCATAGGGCAAGGGGCTGCCCCGGAGAAGGTACAGTGTTGTGTGGAATGAAAGCAGAAGGATTTTGAGGTCCACACAAGGGTCAGGTGTATGTTGGGGAACACCCCCTGCTCTGCAAGTTCCTGCTGTTCTCCTCTGTGTTCTAAACACCAGGAGCCCATCTGGGAAAATTTGGCTGCAGCCAAAGCAGATGATCTTATGCAAGCGTCTCTCCTAGCTCCTCACGAACACAGTGTCCCAGCCCAGCCCAGCCCCATGGGAGCCTTGCAGATAAGTGAGCAGCTGAGAGTTTCCATGTAGGTCAGAGATCCCAGTCCCCTTGAGCATCCAGATCAGCTCTCACCTCTGGCCCATGAGTTAGCCCATCTCTGCTGTGTAGGACCTCTCATAGGCCCAGGAACCCTTTGGGAAGGGAAAGCCATGCTAAGAAATGGAAGCTCCCATTGGAGAGCAGTGTATGAGTCATGGCTCCCAGACCTGAGCAAGGAACAGCTTAGTGCGGTGAACACCCACGTACCACTACTCGCTGGCAGGCCCAAGACAGAGGGAGCAAGAGCCGGCTAGAGCATGCACTTGGGGAACAAGGGCTGCCCAGTGATCATGGGGTCTGCTTGCATCATTCTCCTAAGAATGCAAACACAAGTGTTGCATCCCCTTCCCAGCTGAGCAAATGTCCCAAAGGAGAAGTTAGAACTCAGGAGAGATTTGACTGGAATATGAGCTAGCAGCAGGCCTGGACCTGGGACACTGGCATTCATCTCCGCAGGATACCCTGGAGCAGGACAGACAGGGCTCAGCAGCAGGGTTACTCCCAACTTGGACTGCACCTGGGCCCAGGTGGTGCTCAGGGTTGGGAAGATGCTCCTAGCAGGAGGGAGCACAGCCATGAAGCCTTCTTCCCCTTCAGCTTCCCTCATGCCCACCAAGTCCCACCACAGCCCAAAGGCCTTTCAAGGCTCCATCTCCAGCCACAACATCGGCATCTGTGAGACAACTGGTTCAGCTTTCTGCATGCAGCTAAGCACGGACCTGGAGCTTGGAGTCTGCATG